AGCATGAAGGGAAGATCACTCAAATGACAGACCCCCCTGGCTGGTGTGCTCAGTGGTTAGCGTAGACCTATGAACCAGAAGGTCACAGTTCGATTCCCAGTCAGGGCACGTGCCCAGGTTGCAGGCTCGATCCCCAGTAGGGGAATGCAGGAAACAACAAATCAATGATTCTCTCTCGTCATGGATGTTTCTGTCTCTCTCTCCCTCTCCCTTCCTCTCTGAGATCAATAAATAATTTTTTTAAGCCCTAACCGGTGTAGCTCAGTGGATAGAGCGTCAGCCCGCAGACGGAAGGGTTCAGGATTCTATTCCAGCCAATGGCATGTACCTTAGTTGCAGCCTCGATCCCCAGTAGCCGATTCTCTCTCATCATTGATGTTTCTACCTCTATCTTCCTCTCCCTTCCTCTGAAACCAATAAAAATATATTTTGAAAAACTAAAAAAAAAAAACAGGCGAGACAGGTCGACACTCAAGAGGGTCTCTCAGAGTCCTGGGCTCCGCCCACTGCTCCCCCATATATTCCTGGGATGGGGGAACCCCAGTGGATGGGAATCCACCCAGCCCCAGCGCATAGTGGCTGGGCCAACAGCGACACCTGCTGGGCCATTAGATTCTTGCGGGGAAGCAAGGGGGGGGGTGGCGGGGGCGGGTGTGCAGGGTGCCACAGGCTCAGCTGAGTGTTACTCTGCAGACCCACCATCCCCTCCAAGGCTTCCTCCCTCCTCCCTGGGGATTATCTGTGATGCAAATATGTCTTTTTTTAAAATATATTTTTATTGATTTTAGAGAGGAAGAGAGAGGGAGAGATAGAAACATCAATGATGAGAGAGAATCACTGATCAGCTGCCTCCTGCACGCCGCCTACCAGGGATCGAGCCCACAACCAGGGCCTGTGCCCTTGACTGGAATCGATCCCGGGACCCTTCAGTCCACAGGCCGACGCTCTATCCACTGAGCCACACCAGCCAGGGCATGTGATGGAAACACGCCTTAAACCAAGACCAACCGTCCACGGACTGGAGAGGAGGGAGGGGCAGGTGCCAATGCGGGTCCAGGCGAGGGAGTGGCCAGCAAGCAGCCTCGGGCACATGTGAAGTTTATCATCCTGTGTCGTTTGACCTCCTGCGTCTGACCCCCCCAAATAACACTTCCGCCTCCCCTCTTCCAGGTGAACTATGACCACTTTACTCCTCGTGTTTGTGACTCTGCGGGTCATCGCCGCCACCGTCTCCATAGAAGTCTCAGGTGAGGACATTCCCACGCCGGTCTCATGCATCCAGCGGGACCAGAGTCTGGGCTCTGGGTCTTGAACCCGGTGCTGCTGGTCCCGGGGATAGAACCTCCCGCGTCCCGGCCTTTTCCCCGGCCCTTCCCCTTTTCTGTGGAAATTGAGCCTAACCACGGTGACAGAGCATCTGTACGTGTGAGCACACGCATGCGTCCAGGTGCCCTCTGGGATGGACAGCTGATGGGGGATCGGGGTGGGGGGGGACCGTCCAGGCAGGTGCCCACCTTCCCAGGACCCCCTCCAGGGGTCTCACCTAGAACGGCTTGCACATTGAGCTTGGGATCGGGGCCCGACATAGATGAGCCCAAAGAGAAAAGGCTGCCGGGAAGGATCGGCTGGAGCAGCAGAGAAAACTGCCTGAGAAACAGTCAGGGGGAAGCCCCAGGTGATCACACGGGTCTTTGTCTTTCTTGGCAAACCCTCCCCCCCTCCCCCGCCCCCACCCGCCACCTGGTCTCTTGCGTGTGGCAGAAGCCGGGTCCGTTTCTGATCATCAAGCCCTGAGCCAAGTCAACAAAGTGTCCACTGACCCGGGAACCAGCTCGCCCCAAAGTGAGACGGATCTCGCTTAGACCCCGCCAGAGAGGCCTCTGCTCTGGCCCGTGCACTTCATTTTTTATTTATCTTGTTGTTGTGAATCCTCGCCTTGATCTTTTAGAGCAGCGGTTCTCAACCTGTGGGTCGCGACCCCTTTGGGGGCCGAACGACCCTTTCACAGGGGTCGCCTGAATGCATCCTGCATATCAGATATTTACACGACGATTCATCACAGTAGCAACATGACAGTTATGCAGTAGCCACGAAAATGATTTTATGGTTGGGGGTCACCACAGCATGAGGAGCTGTATGAAAGGGTCGCGGCATTAGGAAGGTTGAGAACCACTGTTTTAGAGAGAGTGGGAGAGAGAGGGAAAGACAGAGCGAAACATCGATGTGAGAGAAACATGGGTTGCCTCCTGCATGAGCCCCGACCAGGGCCAGGGCTGGGGAGGAGCCTGCCACCGAGGTACGTGCCCTTGACTGGAATCGAACCCGGGACCCTGCGGTCTGCAGGCCGACGCTCTATCCACTGAGCCTCACCGGCCAGGGCCTGGGCCATGCACTTTAGAGCTCCTCCCCGCGACCCCTTCCCATGACCCTCCCCCAGCCCCAGTGCTCCCTAAAGGGTGAGGAGTCTGTCCGGCCATCGACACATGGCCATCCAGATCGATGCCCCCCTGTAGGCCACGCCCTCGGTACCAGGATCCCCAGAATTCCCTGCCCACGTGGACCCACGCCACTTCCAGGACCGCTTGGGTCTCTCTGTCGGGGATCACACCCCTGGTGTGAGCCACCCCGAGGCTTGAGGGAGAGGTTAAGGGGTGGCTGATGCGTGGGGTGTAGACAGAGCTGGGGTGTGAGGCTGGGAAGAACACAGTCCCCTCACGGACCAAAGCAGCAGTGGGAAAAGAAGGGACCCCAATACCGATGCCACACCATCCGAGAAGTCTGCAGTGGAACCCGGCTTTTCGCTGTGAAAGGTGTCCCTGCCCCACAGGAAGCTAGAACGTAGTATTCTATTGAGCGACCTGTCCGCTTGATTTATAACTCTTAAATATTTAGACCAGGGGTCCTCAAACTTTTTAAACAGGGGGCCAGTTCACTGTCCCTCAGACCGTTGGAGGGCCGGACTATAGTTTAAAAAAAAACTATGAACAAATTCCTATGCACACTGCACAGATCTTATTTTGAAGTAAAAAAACAAAACAGGAACAAATACAATATTTGTATTTGCATGTGGCCCGCGGGCCGTAGTTTGAGGACCCCTGATTTAGACCGAGGGTCTCCACGTGTCCTCTTGCCCTGAGACCCACGGGTACGCAGCCCCTGGCTGGAACCCGAGGGGGGGGCGGAGGTTGCCCACACAGGCACACACGCCCGTTGCCCGGGGGCGGTTGAGAGCTTTAAAAAGCGCAGCGCTGGACACCACTCTCCCTCCTGGCCTTTCGCCTCTCAAACCACGCCGTGTTGTGGAGCATTCAAAGGGAGTTTTGTGCGGAGGGGCCTGGTGGTGACTCCCCAGGACATGCAAAGGTTAGGGCTGGACCCCGGACATTCCTGGCTGCCCCGTGCCCGGCCCTGGCATGTTCCTATCACCCACAAGCATCTGAAGCATGTTTATGTTCAACCTGCAGCCTGTCCCGGGGAAAAGCTCCCTGAAGCTCCGATTCGGCATGAAAGGGGCCGTTTTTCCGAAAGCTGTTTTCTGTCCTGTTCCAGGGTGACCTTTACTTCTAACAGGATTGGGTGAACCACAGCAGCTTCCCTATGAAATCTCTCTATGATTTTTTTTAAATATGTTTTTCTTGATTTGGGGCAGAGAGAGAGAGAGAGAGAAAATCCGCTGCCTCCTGCACGCCCCCTACTGGGGATGGAGCCCGAAACCCGGGCCTGTACCCTGCCTGGGAATCGAACCAGCGACCTCTCAGTACATGAGATGGCGCTCAACCATCTGAGCCCCGTTGTCCAGGGCTCTATGATTTTTTTATGGAGTCCGGTCATATCTCACCCCTACCCCCGTCTGCCTCTTTGCAGACCTAAATGTATGGTCTTCTCTGATGCCTCCCCAACAGCAGAAGAGAATGACTTGTCTGCCGGCAGAGCCGGGATAAAGCCCAAGGCTGACCTCATCCTGGGAGGCACATCGCTGAAGTTTTGTGGATTTTTTTTTCTTCCCCATAACGATGTTTCTACCCCCAAATAACTTTTCCCCAAGTCTTGGAGTCAAGCTGTCACTACAGGAAGTTGGTTCCTGTTTATCCAGTGGCATGGCATCCCCTAAGGCACCCTAGTTTGAGAAACAAAGAGGTGGTCTTTTTTTTTTTAATATATTTTTATTGATTTCAGAGATGAAGGGAGAGGGGGAGAGAGATAGAAACATCAATGATAAAAGAGAATCGTTGATCGGCTGCCTCCTGCACGCCCCACACTGGGGATCAAGCCCGCAACCTGGGCATGTGCCCTTGACCGGAATTGAACCTGGGACCCTTTGGTCCACAGTCTGACGCTCTATCCACTGAGCCATACCAGCCAGGGCCAGAGAGGTGGGCGTGACCCCGAAGGGCCCCCCGTACCCTCCTCGGCAACCCCTTTTCTGGCTCCATAGTTCCTGTCCTGAGGTGCAGACACCTGGGGCCTTGAGGAATGCTGCTCTGGGAGGGGTGTTGCAAGGATTTCTGGGAGTTCCGTATGGCACAGGTGTGTCCCCAACACGGGCACCCGGGCTCACTGGCAGGGAAGGCTGGGTGGTCCTCTTGGGCACTAACAGGTCTGTCTCCCCCACAGACCCTGACAGCTCGCTGAGCGTCAGCATCCCCGAACCGTCCCCTCTGCGGGTCCTCCTGGGGACCTCCCTCACCATCCCCTGCTACTTCATCGACCCCATGCACCCCGTGACCACCGCCCCCGCCACCGCGCCCCTCACCCCGAGAATCAAATGGAGCCGCATCTCCAAGGAGAAGGAGGTGGTCCTGCTGGTGGCCACGGACGGGCAGGTGCGGGTCAGCGGCGCCTACCAGGACAAGGTCTCGCTGCCCAACTACCCGGCCATTCCCAGCGACGCCACCTTGGAAATTCAGAACCTGCGCTCCAACGATTCCGGGATCTACCGCTGTGAGGTCATGCATGGCATCGAGGACAGCGAGGCCACCGTGGAGGTCGTGGTGAAAGGTGAGAGTCCTCTCCCCCCTTGCCCCCACCCCTCCACCTCAGGGATCCTGGTTCACCTGCAAAAAGAACCAAATACTGTCCTCCCCCTATGGACCCAGACAGGCTGGCTCTCAAACCCCAGCTCCTCCCCGCCCCCGTTTGCACCTCAGTCAACTGGACTTGGAGGGGAGTCACTACTTCCTGGCTACCGTCTCATGGAAATGGTGCTTTGCCACGATCCTGTGATTCCGTGGGCCGTGGGAGCGTACCCATTGTACAGACAGGCTAACTGAGGCTGAGAGACTTGCCTCATGTCTCCCTGGACGTGAGCCGGAGCAGACTCCTGGCTCTTCATCCAGCTGTCTTTTCCCTCCCCCACCTCCCCACCCAGACCCCCACTCTCAGTCCCAGAATCCAAAGAAAGGGTTGAAGACGCCCAGGTGCCCCGTCTCTCCGTGGCCCAGGGAGCATGGTCGTGTCCTTGGTTGGCTTTGATTGGCACCAGGTTTTTCCTGTTGGGAGGCCCAGTCAAAGACAGTCCACTCCTGGGGGGGGTGTCACACACAGGGTTCCCACCCGGAATCCGCTGGGCTGAGGGTACCTGGGTCCTAAGGGTCTTTTCCCCAAAGCAAATGTGGGGCGGGGGGCATATAAGGAGACAGCTTTTATAGTTTCACGTAAAGAACCTTCTAGATGACTTCACTAGTCAGCTTAAGCAGACTAAAGTGTGTATGTGCACATAAAATGTAAGTGATCTTAACTCCATTGTGCAGTGCCTTTTAGATGATCCCCTTTCTATAAAGTCTTCACATTTTTGCATATGTATCATCTATATGATATAATGCTATAGAAATATACGTATATTATACATGTTTTTCAAGGGGTATCTGATAGCTCTGTATTTTGTTATGGGAGTTGAAAGGAAAAAAGGTATTTTCCCTCAGAAATGAAAGTTACATAAAAAAATACTTTTAAAGAATAAAATAAAAATTTTAAACAAAGAACTTTCTGATGATCAGAATTATCGTAGGTGTTCATAGGTGTGAGGTAGTGAGTTCCCCGTGGCTGGGGGCATCCCATCAGAGGCAGAAAGACCACATGTGGGAAGGAGAGTCACGCAAAATACCAACTTCTGCGCATGGGCCGCGAAGTTTCAATCGCACTGTATGTGCGTGCCCGCACGTGGTATTTTTGTGGAAGAGCCACACTCCAGGGGCCAGAGAGCCGCATGTGGCTCTCGAGCCGCAGTTTGCCGACCACTGAGCTAGAGGCTCGGCCAGCTGACTGTGAGGCCCCTTTGACCACGGCCGTCCTTCTGTGAGGGCTTCGGCTTCGGGAAGCTGTGCCTGACCTGCTCTCCGGCCCCCGTCTGTCCCGCAGGCATCGTGTTCCATTACAGAGCCATCTCCACGCGCTACACCCTGGACTTCGACAGGGCGCAGCGGGCCTGCCTGCAGAACAGCGCCATCATCGCCACGCCCGAGCAGCTGCAGGCCGCCTACGAGGACGGCTTCCACCAGTGCGACGCTGGCTGGCTGGCCGACCAGACTGTCAGGTGAGCCCCCGGCCGCCGGCGGAGTGGGGTGGACGATGGGCTGGAACGGTGACCAGCCCTGAGCTGGTGCAACACCATGGCCAGCCGAGGGTGGGGGTGCTTGGCCAACTCTACAGCAAGCAGCCGATGATCAGCCCCGGGTCTTTGTTATTGTGTCCTGCACGGAGGGCGTGGCTGCGAGCAGCTCTGTCCTATAGCAGCATTCTCTCCAAGCAAATGACATGCACATTGTCGTCCCCCGCAAATCTTAAACTATTTGGCCCGGCCGGTGTGGCTCAGCGTGGAGCACTGACCCATGAACCGAGAGGTCACCGGCTCGATTGCTGGTCAGGACACATGCCCAGGTTGCTGGCTTGATCCCCAGCAGGGGGCGTGCAGGAGGCAACCAGTCGATGTTTCTGTCTCTCTCCCTTCCTCTCTCTCTAAAATCAATCAAAGTATTTTTTTTATGCCCTGGCTGCTTTGGCTCAGTGGCTAGAGCGTCAGCCTGTGGACTGACGGGTCCCGGGTTCGATTCCGGTCAAGGGCACGTGCCCGGGTTGCAGGCTCGATCCCCAGTGTGGGGCATGCAGGAGGCCGCCAATCAATGATTCTCTCTCATCATTGATGTTTCTATCTCCCTCTCTCTCTCCCTTCCTCTCTGAAATCAATAAAAATATATTTTTTAAAAATAATAAAAAGAAATAAAAACTTTTCTTAAATTTAAAATAGTTGCTCTCTGGCCTTTTACAGAAAAGGTTTGCAGGCCCCTGATAGAATGTGTTTGGTGTCCATAAGTATTCAGTAAAGGGGCTGAATCTAATCACCAATAGCTATGAAAATACACAGTTCGGTAAAGCGGACGAAAAACCTATAAAAACAAATAGTCCACACATCCAGGGCGGACACGGGCACACGCCTCAATGAGTCACCACTCCCTCCCTCATGGGAGGAGCCTACAAGGGCACAGGCCCCCTCTGTCCCCTAGTGAATCACCCCGCTTTGGGCTCCTGGCAGGTACCCCATCCACGTTCCCCGGGAAGGCTGCTACGGGGACAAGGACGAGTTTCCCGGCGTGAGAACCTATGGCATCCGCGACACCAACGAGACCTATGACGTGTACTGCTTCGCGGAGGAGATGGAGGGTGAGGCCGCCTGCCCCCTTCCCAGGGGCCCCCTTCCTGTCCCCCCTTCACCCTGCTGACACTCGGGATCTCACCCAGGGCACCCCCCACTTGCCCCCCTCTGCCATGGGGAATAGAGGAAGGGGGACGGGAGAATGGGGGCTCCAGGCCTCAGTCACCCCAGGCTCCTGCAAACTGGTGCCACCCCTGAGCCAAAGAGTGGTGGTCGCTGATCCCTCACCTAGGACTTCCCCTCCCAGCCAGGCCCCTCGCTGCTCTGACCAGCCACCACTGTCCGGCGTGGCTCAGTGGTTGAGCGTCCACCTAGGAACCAGGAGATCTCGGTTCGATTCCCGGTCAGGGCACATGCCCGGGTTGTATGCTCAATCCCCAGTGTGGGGCGTGCAGGAGGCAGCCGATCCATGATTCTCTCTCATCATTGATGTTTCTATCTCTCTCTCCCTTTCCCTTCCTCTCTGAAATCAACAAAAAATGTATTTTTAAAAAAAAAAAAAAAGAATGCTCTGCCCTGACCGGTTTGGCTCAGTGGATAGAGCGTCGGCCTGCGGACTGAAGGGTCCCAGGTTCGATTCCGGTCAGGGGCATGTGCCTGGGTTGCGGGCACATCCACAGTGGGGGGTGTGCAGGAGGCAGCTGATCGATGTTTCTCATTGACGTTTCTGACTCTCTATCCCCTCTCCCTTCCTCTCTGTGAAAAATCAATAAAATATATTTTAAAAAAATAAAATAAAATAAAAAAAGGATGCTCTGGAGACCTGGAGGCACCACGGGCCAGGGGTGGGAGGGAGATCCTCACCCTGCCGCTCTGTCCTTCACAGGCGAGGTCTTCTATTCGACGTCTCCAGAGAAGTTCACCTTCCAGGAGGCTGCCAACGAGTGCCGACGGCTGGGCGCCCGGCTGGCCACCACGGGCCAGCTGTACCTGGCCTGGCAGGGCGGCATGGACATGTGCAGCGCTGGCTGGCTGGCCGACCGCAGCGTGCGCTACCCCATCTCCAAGGCCCGGCCCAACTGCGGCGGCAACCTCCTGGGCGTGAGGACCGTGTACCTGCACGCCAACCAGACGGGCTACCCCGACCCCTCATCCCGCTACGACGCCATCTGCTACACAGGTGCGGCGGGGGCTGGGGGCTGGGAGCCGGGGGCCGGGAGGGGAGGTCATGCCAGCAAAAGCAGGGCCCAGAGGAAGAGATCTGGGAACGGGGGGTGGGGGGTTGGTTTTTACCCCTTCAAGGGGTCATTGGGCACCTGAACCTCATGGTTTAGCAGCGCCCATTTCCACAGGCTCCTAGGAGAGCGAAGGTACAGTGGCTGGAGGCTGCGGGGTATCCGGCCTGTCTCATGAGCCCAGAATGGGTTAAAAGCGTGGGTTTTAGAGTCTGCCACCTGCTACTGTGCAACCGTGGGAAAGCCAAGGCCTTGAGCCTCAGTTGTCTCATCCGTCTAATGCAGCGGTTCTCAACCTGTGGGTCGCGACCCCTTTGGAGGTCGAACGACCCGTTCACAGGGGTCGCCTAAGCCCATCGGAAAACACATATATAATGACATATTGTTTCTGTGATGAATCACTATGCTTTCATTATGTTTAATTTGTAACAATGAAATTGGGGGTCACCACAACATGAGGAACTGTATGAAAGGGTCGCCGCATTAGGAAGGTTGAGAACCACTGGTAATGGGAAGATGGTGGCACCACATAGAAGGTGGTGGGGCCTGACATTGAGACCGTGTCCCCACAGGGAGGCACTGTTATCTGCCTTTGCAATGGGGTTCACTTAAAAGGAGTGTCAACATGTTACTGAAAAGCGGAGGGGGGGGGTCAAGTATCTCCCCCAATAAATTCAATAAAAAGGGAAAAAATAAATGGATTGTGTCAAAAAAAAAAAGTGGGGGAAAGTTTTGGCAGGTGCTATATTTTGTAAATTTAGACAAGCCCTAACCGGTTTGGCTCAGTGGATAGAGCGTCGGCCTGCGGACTGAAGGGTCCCAGGTTCGAGTCCGGTCAAGGGCATGTACCTTGGTTGCGGCCACATCCCCAGTGGGGAGTGTGCAGGAGGCAGCTGATCGATGTTTCTCTCTCATCGATGTTTCTGGCTCTCTATCCCTCTCCCTTCCTCTCTGTAAAAAAACAATAAAATATATTTTTAAAACATTTTTTTTCAAAAGAAAATTTAGACAAAAATTTTTTTACCTTACATTGTACATAATCTAGGTAATAATTGCTACTAAACGCTAATTCTTGGAGGGACAGAAAAAATGAATGATACAGAGTTGCATCCATTTTATGGCAACAGTGACATAGCTCCTTGCATGTTGCCCTCCACAGCCCAATCTTCCACGAAAAGCATTAGTTTTGCAAAAATGGTTAGGGTCTCCCCCAAAGCCTCTCTCGACCTTTCCATATCCTGACCACCCTTCTCGAAGTCGCCGCACGCTCACGGATGGTCTCCTCATGAATGATTAGCTGGCTCGTTTTTGCCAGAAGCAGTAGTTCTCCCGTGTTTCATCCGTTTCACGAGCTCCCGCATCTTCCGCGAGATTTCCCAGTTTCCCTTTACAGCAGATTTACATTCTCCCCATTGGCTGGTCAGCAAGGTGCTCAGCCACTAGGTGAACAGGCGGCTGGCATTGACCCGGAAGTGATGCTGGAGCTGTGAAATGATTGGTTAATATCTTGTGCTATGACAGCTTTGCATTCTTTCGCAATCTGGAAACTGCGTGGTCTCCTATCCTATATAATAAAAGCTTAATATGCTAAGTGTCTGACCGTTTGGTCAATGGCTCAACCAGTCGCTATCATGTGCACTGACCACCAGGGGGCAGATGCTCCAACCAGTAGGGTAGATTGCTGCTGGGGTCCTGCCAATCGGGACTGGGTGAGAGGGCCAGACACGCCCTGGAGCCCTCCTGGGATCCCTCCCCGGGTGACAGCCAACCTCCCACGACCCTCCCCAACCCACTGACCCCCACGGACCCTGATCACTGGCCAGGCTGAGGGACCCTACCTGTGCACGAATTCGTGCACTGGGCCTCTAGTCATGAATAGTCACATAGACAAGGACCCCAAAATGGGCCCAGCAAGGTGCCAGGCACACAGTGGGTGCTTTCCTTCCCTAGCGGAGGAGGAGGTGGCGCCGACGCTCACCTCCCACCTCTCAGCCCCGGGATGTGCGGCTAACGCTTGCCTTTGTCCCTGTGCCCAGGTGAAGACTTTATCGATATCCCAGAAAACTTCTTCGGGGTGGGTGGCGAAGAGGACATCACCGTGCAGACGGTGACCTGGCCCGACGTGGAGCTGCCCTTGCCCCGGAACATGACGGAGGGCGAAGCCCGGGGCAACGTGATCCTCACGGTGAGGCCCATCTTCGGCGGCTCCCCCACGGCCCCAGAGCCCGAGGAACCCCTCACCTTGGCCCCCGACATAGAGGCCACCGCCTTCCCTGAGGCTGAGAACGGCACTGGAGAGGCCACCAGGCCCTGGGCCTTTCCCGGGGCGTCCACGCCTGGCCTGGGCCCCTTCACCGGCGAGGACCTGGTGGTGCAGGTGACCGCAGCCCCGGGTGAAACCCAGGTCCCCGGGCAGCCACGATTGCCAGGGGGTAAGTGCCCACTCCTCGGGGGGCTGGGGGGGGCCAGGTGGGAAGAACTTGGCCTGGGGGTGTCTACCTTCAACGGGACCTGGGACAAGCCTCTCCTCTGTGATTCGGTCCTTCTTATTTGTCAGATAAAGAAATAGGCCAGCCCTAGCCAGTTTGGCTCAGAGGATAGAGCATCAGCCTATGGACCGAAGGGTCCCGGGTTCGATTCCAGTCAAGGGCACGTGCCCGGGTTGCGGACTCAATCCCCAGTGGGGGGTGTGCAGGAGGCAGCTGATCAATGTTTCTAACTCTCTGTCCCTCTCTCTTCCTCTCTGTAAAAAATCAATAAAATATATTTAAAAAAAGAAAAGAAAGAAAGAAATAGGCCAGCCCTAGCCGGTTTGGCTCAGGGGATAGAGCATCAGCCTGTGGACCGAAGGGTCCCGGGTTCGATTCCAGTCAAGGGCACGTGCCCAGGTTGCGGACTCAATCCCCAGTCGGGGGCATGCAGGAGGCAGCCGATCAATGATTTTCTCTCATCATTGATGTTTCTATCTCTCTCCTGCTCTCTCTAAAATCAATAAAAAAAAATTTTAAATAAAAATAAAATAGAATTTGAATTTCACTGTCCGCATGGCCTGGGAATAGGATCGGAAGGAGAAAAGGAAGGCGGGGTGAAGGGAGGCCATTCCTAACATGAAGCCAGGGCAAAGCTTTGAGAACCGGGCACCGTGGGCACCGGCGTTGTGGCACCCGGTCCATGCCCTGAGCCCGCTCTGTCTTTCCTTCTCTCCCTGTCCTCCCCGCCCAGGGGTCGTGTTCCACTACCGCCCCGGCTCTGCCCGCTACTCACTGACCTTCGAGGAGGCACAGCAGGCCTGCCTGCGCACCGGGGCGGTCATCGCCTCGCCCGAGCAGCTCCAGGCCGCCTACGAAGCAGGCTACGAGCAGTGTGACGCCGGCTGGCTGCAGGACCAGACCGTGAGGTGAAGGCCCGGCCGGGCTCCCCTCTCAGCCCCTACCCAACCTGGAGAGGTCAGGCTAGGGGGAGCCGGGAGCCTGGCCCTGCACCCAGGGCAGAGAGAGGGCACCTTAATTAATTAACCAGTGACTCCTGGCTGCTCCCTTAATTGCTCCCCCCAGGATCGAAGCATATTCAGAGAGGGTGGCATTAAGTCCTAGGTCAGCATCAGCCTGGGGACTGAGGGTCCTGGGTTCGATTTCTGGTCGGGGCACATGCCCGGGTTGCGGGCTTGATCCCCAGTAGGGGGCATACAGGAGGCAGCCAATCAGTGATTCACTCTCATCATTGATGTTTCTATGTCTCTCTCCCTCTCCCTTCCTCTCTGAAGTCAATAAAAATATATTTTTTTAAAGTCCTAGGTCAGTGATCGGCAAACCGCGGCTCGCGAGCCACATGCTGCTCTTTGGCCCCTTGAGTGTGGCTCTTCCACAAAATACCACATGCGGGCACGCATGTACAGTGTGATTGAAACTTCGTGGCCCGTGCGCAGAAGTCGGTATTTTGTGGAAGAGCCACACTCAAGGGGCCAAAGAGCCGCATGTGGCTTGTGAGCTGCAGTTTGCCGACCACTGTCCTAGGTCATTTCCCTCATCCTTAAGCCCCCCAGTCCCTTCCAGCTTGACCCAATGCTATTCCATGCAGTGGGCTTCCTTCTGAAGCCAGGAATCCCCCAGGGGTCCCCAAACCTTACGCCTAGTATAAGGGGCTTCTTCATGGTTTGAATCCCTCCAAAGACCTTCCCTGCCCGAGTTCCCAGCCAGCCTCACCCAGCAGCCCCCAACCCTGAACAGGCCCTCATCTGCCCCTCGCACCCTCCTTTGCAGATACCCCATTGTGAGCCCGAGGACCCCGTGTGTGGGCGACAAGGACAGCAGCCCGGGGGTCCGGACCTACGGTGTGCGCCCACCATCAGAAACCTATGATGTCTACTGCTACGTGGACAAGCTCGAAGGTACAGGCCTCGTTCTCACATTTTGGGCCCCAGATGGGCAAGGGGGCTGTTGGGGAGACACAAAAAAGGAGGGGTAAAGCCATCATCCGCCCACCCCCACATTTGTGGATAAATAAATCCCTTTTTTTAAATATCTACCTACCATCTGCCTCCTGGAGAGTCCCAATGCCCATGACCAAATCAAAGGATCTGAGAAGTCCTGCAGTGAAAACAAACAACAACAAAAAAAACCCTAGCTGGTGTGGCTCAGTGGATAGAGCGTCAGCCTGTGCGGACTGAAGGGTCCCGGGTTCGATCCGGTCAAGGGCACATGCCCAGGTTGCGGACTCATCCCCAGTTGGGGGCATGCAGGAGGCAGCCGATCCATGATTCTTTCTCATCATTGATGTTTCTATCTCTCCCTCTCCCTTCCTCTCTGAAATCAATAGATATATTTTTAAAAAATACATACATACATACATACATAAGCAAGCTAGGAAGGAGGCCCAGAGGGAGTGTAAGTGACCAACCCTTCCCAGTTTGGCTGCAACTTTGCCGGTTTCAGCACTGAAAGTTCCCAACTCCTAGGACACCCCAGTGGCACCCTATTCCCCAGTGTCCCGGAAGATCTAAGGGGGGAATAGTCAAAAATTCGGACTGGACAGGGTGTTTAACCGTTGCCTGCCATGGCAGGTGTCCCACCCCTGCTGGGGGGCGGGTGTGGGCCTAGGGAGCCCCGCCCGTGGGTGAGCAGGGCCCACCCTGGCTGTGGGCGTGAAGGGTCACCCTTGCCCCCCGCCTCTGCCCCCAGGGGAGGTGTTCTTCGTCACGCGCCCGGAGCAGTTCACCTTCCAGGAAGCCCTGGAGTTCTGTGAATCCCACAATGCCACGCTCGCCTCCACCGGCCAGCTCTACGCCGCCTGGAGCCTCGGCCTGGACAAGTGCTATGCCGGCTGGCTGGCCGACAGCAGCCTCCGCTACCCCATCGTCACCCCTCGGCCGGCCTGTGGCGGGGACAAGCCAGGCGTGAGGACCGTCTACCTCTACCCCAACCAGACAGGCCTCCTGGACCCACTGTCCCGGCACCACGCCTTCTGCTTCCGCGGTAGGTGCTCTCCCCGCTCCTCCAGCCCCCACTTCTGCCTGGGGGGTGACTCCCCAGGGCTGAGCCCTCCTGGCCCCTGTCCACTCCCCCTGTCCATCTAAACAAGAAAGAAAATGTCAGTCTGTCTGGGGGAGGGGCAGCTCGGGAGCTAGCATGACCTTGGGCTTTGACCCCAAGGCAAATGCATCCTGCAGTGGTTTTCAACCTGTGGGTCGCGACCCCTTTGGGGGTTGAACAACCCTTTCACAGGGGTCGCCTAAGACCATCAGAAAACACATATATCATTACATATTGTTTTTGTGATTAATCACTATGCTTTCATTATGTTCAATTTGTAACAATGAAATTGGGGGTCACCACAACATGAGGAACTGTATGAAAGGGTCGTGGCATTAGGAAGGTTGAGAACCACTGTGCTAAGGCAAGCATGTCAAACTCACAGGCTAACACGGGCCAAATAAACTCGGTTTAAGTGTACGTGGGCCACAAAACAGCAAAAGCTTCCATTTTCATAGAAACATAGGTTTATTTCGATAGAGATGAGCTGAATACAAAGGGCTGAAACAAATGAGTCATCATTAACATAAAATAATAGGGTATTTTAATAAAAATTAGTATTTTTTTTCTTGAACATTCACTTACCAGACACTGAATAACTGCACAGATGAATAAGCGTCACGCAAATAAACCTATTTTTCTTGTTCTCCGAAAGCAAAATATTTCCTGTTGCACACACCAAACAAGTCAGTCCAAGACGAATGACGTGACCATCGGCTGCTAAAATATTCGCTGCTAGTATCAGTGGAGAGAAATGGTGCGCCTGCGTGTAAGGCACGTAAGGGAAATGAATGCAACACGATGACAGTAATCAGTCATTAGTGGACATTGTAGTTCGTTATTAATGACTAGAGGCCCAGTGCACGAAATTCATGCGCTGGGGGCGGGGGTCCCTCAGCCCAGCCTGTGCCCCCTTGCAGTCCAGGACCCCTCGCACCTTACTGTCCACCTGCAGCGGAGGCAGGAGAGGCTCCCGCTGTGAGCCCGGTTTCTGGCTGAACAGAGCTCCCCCTGTGGGAGCACACTGACCACCAGGGGGCAGCTCCTGCATTGAGCGTCTGCCCCCTGGTGGTCAGTGCATGTCATAGCGACCGGTCGTTCTGCCGGTCATTCCACTGTTCGGTCAGTTTGAATATTAGGGTTTTATTATATAGGATTATGTATAACAGGACATTGTAAAAATTAAGTTACAAAACTTTTATTCAAACGTTTCTTATATACCGTCCTATTGGCTGGGCCGCAAAAATATTTGTTGTCGGCCGCATGCGGCCCGAGGGCCGCGATTTTGACATGCTTGCTCTAAGGTTTCCCAGAGATAAGGAGAGAGAAGTGAGTAAGAACCTGGGCTCTGAATTCAGGCAGACCTTAATTTTAATTATGGTTCTGCTGCTTAGTAGCTGTGTGACTCTGAGCAAGTCACTTAACTTCTCAGTTTCTCTGTTTCATCTATAAAATCATGATATGGCTGAGGATTAACTGAGATAGTGCACAGAAAACACTTGACAGAGTGCCTGGAACATAGTAAATGCTCAATAAATGGTAGCTTTGCCGTCATAAATAATTTGTACACAAATCAAATTCTCTCCTGCTTGAAAGTATTTTCATGATGAGTTTAGTCAAATTATTCTATTGCCTAACCATCAACAACTTGTTTTTTTTAAATATGTTTTCATTGATTTCAGAGAGGGAGAGCTAGAAATATCAATGATGAGAGAGAATCATGGATCGGCTGCCTCCTGCACGCCCCCTACTGGGGATCGAGCCCACAACCCAGGCATGTGCCCTGACCGGGAATCGAACTGTGACCTCCTGGTTCATAGGTGGACACTCAACCACTGAGCCACGCCAGCTGGGCAGCAATTCATGCTTTTAATTGACCCATGACACTGAGGGCATGCTGCCAGATACGTGGTTGGATTCAAACTTCTGCCACTTAAAAGCCATTGACTCTGGGCAAGTCACTTAATTCTGTGTCTTCGTTTCCTCATCTGTAAGTGACATATAGTATCTCTCTCTTATGGTGATTATGGGATAAAATGCTCTGGTATGCATAACACCTTTAAACCATGCCTGGCATCCTATATAATAAAGGGTAATATGCAGCCCTAACCAGTTTGGCTCAGTGGATAGAGTGTCGGCCTGTGGGCTGAAGGGTCCCAGGTTCGATTCCGGTCAAGGGCGCATGTACCTTGGTTGCGGGCACATCCCCGGTAGGGGGTGTGCAGGAGGCAGCTGATGGATGTTTCTCTCTCATCGATGTTTCTAACTCTATCCCTCTCCCTCCCTCTCTGTAAAAAATCAATAAAAATATATTTTAAAAATAAATAAATAAAAATAAAAGGGTAATATGCAAATTATCCCATCAACCAGGAATTCAACCCGAGTTCGACCAGGGGGTGGGGCCGGCCCACCAACTGCCCGGGACCCCTCCCCCCTGGCCAGTCCAGCCCAATGGGGGCCCGATCAGGGCGGGCCCACTGGACCCCACCAGTGCACAAATGCATGCACCAGGCCTCTAGTGTATAATAAATTCTGTAGGAGAGATGCCCCAAACCACCCTGAAATAAAGTGCCAGTGGTATGTGCATATTGAGAGTGTAGTTGCTGCAAAACAGCTCTTATTAATTGAGGAGGTCAAAAGTGATCTCTCCGCCCCGGCCACAGGGGCTCAGTGGTTGAACATTGACCTATGAACCAGGAGGTCACGGTTCAATTCCCAGTCAGGGCCCATGCCCGGGTTGCAGGCTCGATCCTGGATCGTGCAGGAAGCAGCCAATCAATGATTCTCTCTCATCATTGATGTTTCTATCTCTCTCTCCCTCTCCTTTCCTCTCTGAAATCCATAGAAAATATGTATTTTTTAAACTGATCTCTCTGGATTGCTAGGTGGAGGGGGTTGTCGAGGCCCAAAAAGGCGCTTGCACAGGCCTGGCTCACCTCAGACTCCCCTGGTTGCCCTCGAGAAGGGCCAGCTGGGGTGGGGCACTGGTGAGAAGGAACCCTCACCCCCACATCTCTTCTAGGTGTCTCGGCTGCGCCCTCTCCCGGAGAAGATCGGGGTGGCACGCCCACACCCCCCTCAGACGTGGAGGACTGGATCACCCCCCAAGTGGGACCCGGCGTGGCTGCTGTCCCCTCGGGGGAGGAGACCACTGCAGTCCCAGACTTCACCATGGAGCCGGAAAACCACACGGAATGGGAACGGGCCTACACCCCCGCGGGCACCTTGCCGCTGCCAGGTCTGTGTGGCCTTCCCGGCCTCAGGGGGCTGGGTTCAGAGGAATGATTCTCACACCGCATCGAGCAGCAGCATCGTGGGGGTGCTGGGCCCACCCCCGAGTCTGATTCCGTGGGGCTGGGGTGGGGTCCGAGAATTGGCTTTTCTACCAAGCTGTCCGGTGACGCTGGTGCTTCTGGTCCAGGGACCACACTTGGAGAACCATGGGTTTAGATACGATGAGATGAGGATGTGCAAGTACTTGAAGGGTGACCTTGATTGCCCTCCGGGAAAGCCAGGCCCCCACACCCAGTAGGTTGTGTGGATGGCACCCCCTAAGTTAGGGAGGTTCTCAACCTTCCCAATGCCGCGACCCTTTAATACAGTTCCTCATGTGGTGGTGACCCCCCAACCATAAAATTATTTTCGTTGCTACTTCATACCTGTAATTTGAATTACAAATTCATACCGTTATGAATCGTAACGTAAATATCTGATATGCAGGATGTATTTTCATTGTTCGCGACCCACAGGTTGAGAACCGCTGCAAATCTCACAAAGCCAGGCCCCCACACCCAGTGGGTTGTGTGGATGGCACCCCCCAAAAATCCCGCAAAGCACAGCCTGAGGGTGCTGGGGAGTTTCTCCGTCTCCCTCTTTCCCTCCCTTTCCCCTTTCTTTCCAGAGACACTGTGCAAGGTTCCATTAGAAAATGCCTAAACACATCTCTGAGCTCTTGAAAGAAAAAAAAAATTTTTTTTTAAATATTTTTATTGATTTCAGGGAGGAAGGGAGAGGGAGAGAGAGATGGAAATATCAATGATGAGAGAGAATCATGGATCGGCTGCCTCCTGGATGCCCCACACTGGGGATCAAGCCCGAAACTCGGGCATGTGCCCTTGACCGGAATCGAACCCGGGACCCTTCAGTCTGCAGGCCGACGCTCTACCCACTGAGCCAAACCAGCCGGGGCAAAGAAAAATGTTACTGTGAAGGGAACGGAATTGGGCTTCTCTGCATGAGCTTAAAATGGGCAGAGTTACTAAATCCTCACCTTGTCTTTCTTCCTCTCGTCCTCCAGGGGTCCCTCCTACATGGCCTCCCACTAGCACAGCCACAGAGGAGAGCACAGGAGGCCCTTCTGCCACAGAAGTGCCCTTGGCCTCGGAGGAGCCAGCCCCCTCAGAAGAGCCATCCCCCTCGGAGACACCATCCCCCTCAGAGATGCCAGCCCCCTCCCAGGAGCCGCTGTTCACACCTTCACCCCCAGTGCCCAGTGGGACGGAGCTGCCGGGCTCCGGGGAGGCATCGGGGGCACCGGAAGTCAGTGGTGACTTCTCAGCCAGTGGAGAAGCTTCAGGACACCCTGACGCCAGTGGGCAGCCCTCGGAAGACCTTGACTCCAGTGGTGTCACCTCGGCGGCGGGCTCAGGCCTGCCTGTGGGAAGTGGACTGGCCTCGGGGGAGGAAGATAGAGTTACGTGGTCCAACGCTTCTCACGTTGGGGGGCTGCCTTCTGGGGGGGAGGGTCTAGAAGGCTCTGCCTCCGGGGTAGAGGACCTGGGTGGACTTCCTTCTGGAGGTGAGACTCATCCAGAAGGTTCTGCTTCTGGAGTAGAGGACCTGGGTGGACTTCCTAGTGGAGGTGAGAGTCATCTAGAGACGTCTACCTCTGGAGTAGACCTCGGTGGACTTCCTTCTGGAGGTGAGACTCATCCAGAAAGTTCTACCTCTGGAATAGACCTGGGTGGACTTCCTTCTGGAGGTGAGACTCATCCAGAAAGTTCTACCTCTGGAATAGAGGACCTGGGTGGACTTCCTAGTGGAGGTGAGAGTCATCTAGAGATGTCTACCTCTGGAGTAGACCTCGGTGGACTTCCTTCTGGAGGTGAGACTCATCCAGAAGGTTCTGCCTCTGGAATAGAGGACCTGGGTGGACTTCCTTCTGGAGGTGAGACTCATCCAGAAAGTTCTACCTCTGGAGTAGACCTCGGTGGACTTCCTTCTGGAGGTGAGACTCATCCAGAAGGTTCTGCCTCTGGAATAGAGGACCTGGGTGGACTTCCTTCTGGAGGAGAGATTCATCCAGAAAGTTCTACCTCTGGAGTAGACCTGAGTGGACTTCCTTCTGGAGGAGAGATTCATCCAGAAAGTTCTGCCTCTGGAGTAGAGGACCTGGGTGGACTTCCTTCTGGAGGAGAGATTCATCCAGAAAGTTCTGCCTCCGGAGTAGAGGACCTCGGTGGACTTCCTTCTGGAGGAGAGGGTCTTCCAGAAACTTCTGCCTCCGGAGTAGAGGACCTTGGTGGACTTCCTTCTGGAGGAGAGGGTCTAGAGACCTCTGGTTCTGGACCCGAGGACCTCAGCGGGTTGCCTTCTGGAAAAGAAGACTCGATCGGGTCAGCTTCTGGAGACTCGGGCCTGGGCGGGATACCTTCTGGAGCTCTCGGAAGCGGGCAGGCTCCGGAAGCCAGTGGCCTTCCCTCTGGGTTCAGCGGTGAGTATTCTGGCACGGACCTCGGAAGCGGCCCATCCTCCGGCGCGCCGGACTTCAGTGGGCTTCCCTCGGGGCTCCCGACGGTCTCCCTGGTGGATACCACGCTGGTGGAAGTGGTCACAGCCGCCACGGCGAGTGAGCTGGAGGGGCGAGGCACCGTCGGCGTGAGCGGTGCTGGCGAGGTATCCGGGCTGCCCTTCGGCGAACCGGACGTGAGCGGGGGCGCGAGCGGGTTCCCTTCGGGGGCTGAACTCAGTGGCCAGCCATCTGGATCCCCCGACATCAGCGGGGAAACATCTGGATTCTTTGGTGTCAGTGGGCAGCCCTCGGGATTCCCTGACCTCGGCGGGGGGACATCCGGGCTCTTCGAGCTCAGTGGGCAGCCGTCGGGGTTTCCGGAGGAGACGTCTGGAATGGCCGAGCTTAGTGGGCAGTCCTCGGGACAGCCAGGTGTCAGCGGAGAAGCTTCTGGAGATCTTCTTGGCAGCGGCCGCCCGTTTGGCATGACCGACCCGAGTGGAGAAACGTCTGGGGTCCCTGACCTCAGTGGGCAGCCCTCGGGGTGGCCCGGGTTCAGCGGGGCCCCCTCGGGGATCCCCGACCTGGTTTCTGGCGCCACGAGCGGCAGCGGGGACGCTTCCGGCGTTACGTTCGTGGACAGCACCTTTGTGGAGGTGACCCCAACTCCGTTTAGGGAAGAAGAAGAAGGCTTGGGGTCCGTGGAACTCAGCGGCCTCCCTTCTGGGGAGACGGATCTCTCGGGCACCTCCGGGACGGTGGACGTCAGCGGACAGTCGTCCGGGGCCATCGCCTCCAGCGGGTTTCCGTCGCAGCCTCCAGAATTCAGCGGCCTGCCCAGCGGAGCCGCCGAGGTCAGTGGGGAGGCCTCCGGCGCCGAGGCGGGGAGCAGCCTGCCCTCCGGAGCCTACGACGGCAGCGGACTTCCACGGGGCTTCCCCACCGTCTCGCTCGTCGACAGGACTTTGGTGGAATCTGTAACCCAGCCTCCGACGGCCCAAGAAGCAGGGGAGGGGCCTTCGGGCATTCTGGAACTCAGCGGCGCCCATTCCGGAGCGCCGGACGGGTCTGGAGACCATTCTGGACTGTCGGACCTCAGCGGGCTGCAGTCCGGGCTGGGGGAGCCCAGCGGCGAGCCTTCGAGTACCCCGTATTTCAGCGGGGACTTTTACGGCTCCACGGATGCCAGTGGGGCGTCTTCTGCAGCCCCGGGCACCAGCGGGGAGGCCTCCGGACTGCCCGACGTCACTCTGATCACTTCCGAATTCGTGGAGGGTGTCACGGAACCAACTGTTTCCCAGGAACTCGGCCAGAGACCCCCTTTGACGCACACCCCCCAGGTTTTTGAGTCCAGCGGAGAAGCCTCTACATCGGGGGACCTCAGTGGAGCCACGCCAAGCTTCCCCGGGTCTGGGGTCGAGGCGTCATCGGTCCCAGAATCCAGCAGCGAAACGTCTGCCTCTCCTGAGGCTGGGGTGGGGGCGTCTGCTGCTCCTGAGGCCAGCGGGGTGGCCTCGGGGACCCCTGACCTGGGTGAAACCACCTCTGCCTTCCACGAAGCTGACCTGGAGGGAGCCTCGGGCCTGGGAGTGAGCGGCCGCCCCTCTACCTTCCAGGAAGGGCCCACGGAGGGCTCCACCCCGTCGGGAATGAGTGGAGAGTCGGCCACCACCTACGGTGTGGCCACGGAGACCTCGGGCTGGCCTTCGGCCACTCCCGGGGCTTCTGGAGACGGGCCGGAGATCAGCGGGGACCCGTCTGGTCACGCCTCGGGGCTGGGTGTTGTCGTGGGCACCAGCGTCCCGGAGTTTGAATGGACCCAGCAGCCCCAGCGCCCTGCAGAGGCGAATCTGGAAGTGGAGTCCTCAAGCCCCGTGCACTCGGGAGAAGAGGCCCAAACGGCCGAAACAGCCGTCTTCCCAACGGACGCTTCTTCCATCCCAGCTCCGGCAGAAGGGACCGAAGGATCGGAGGCCACCACTACAGGTATGGCTGACATCTCTTTTTCCTTTCGATGTGTTTGGCTAGTTCAGATGGTAGCAGAGTGGGAGGCGGTGTAGATTCAAGTCTCTGAGCACAGCTCCCCTAGAGATGAGCTGTGCAGCCTCAGGCAAGTTTCTTAACCTCTCTGATCCTCACCCGTGAAATGGGAATAGGACCAGGGAAGATTAAACAGCATGTAACTATATATAAAACAAGCACTGAGCATCAGAGTAGGCACACAGGACACACTCATAGAGGTTAGTGATTGTGCCCTGGCCAGTTTGGCTCAGTGGATAGAGCATCGGCCTGCGGACTGAGGGTCCCAGCTTCAATTCTGGTCAAGGGCATGTACCTTGGTTGCAGGCTTGATCTCCCGCCCTGGTTGGAGCATGTGCAGAGGCAACCAATGGATGTGTCTCTCTCACATCGATGTTTCTGTGTGTGTCTCTCTCTCCCTCCTCCTCTCTGTAAAAATCAATGGGAAAATATCCTCAGGTGAGGATTAACAACAAAAAAAGATTACCATTAGAGTGAAGTTACATCTTGAGAACATTTATGTATGAACCTGATTATGTGTCTTTGGCACGGAGAGAGGGAATGATGGCTATGGGTCAAGCATGTCAAACTCGCGGCTGGAGGGCCGCAGGCCTTGTTAAAGCAAGTTTGACGTGCTTGAATAGTGCTGGAAATTGTGCTCCTGGCCCCTTCCCATGAGTGAGAGTGGGATGACAGAATGAACCTCCTGGTGGCCTTTATGCCCAAATATTTCCTTTGTGCAGGGTTCAAACCAGCACAATTTAAGGGTTGATGAGGTATCATTTGGGCTGAGTCCTGACTTGAGCCCTGGGGTTCCCACCCCGACCCCAGTCCAAGGGACTCCTCTGGACTGTAGTGACTGTCGCACCTCAGCAGCATCCCAGCACCGGGCACCCGCAGCTGAGCCTTCCCCCCACTTTTGTTCTGGGGTCCCTTGCACATTGCTGTGTGCCCAGGCCCCGGGTACCAGGGCCAGGTGTCCAGGAGGCACCCCAGAAACACGCTGACCCCAAGTCAGCCTCGTGAGCTTACGGGACCTCGTGCCCCAGCCTCGGGGTCTCGGAGGCTGCGCCGCGCCCCAGGCGGCCGGCTGCTGGGTGCTTAGCCTCTCCCCGGGGGGTGCAGCCCGAGCCAGGTCCTGCGGCGAGGATCCCTGTGGCCCTGGGACCTGCCAGGAGACGGGGGGACACGTGCTATGCCTGTGCCCCCCTGGCCACACTGGCGAGCACTGCGATGTAGGTATGGCGCGGGGCATGCAGGCAGGGGAGGGTGGGGACACCGAGATCACCTGAGGCTCAGGCTGCTCAGACTACCTGGGGCTAGAAGCCACATCTTTCTAGAGCAGCGATTCTCAACCTATGGGTCGCGACCCCTTTGGGGGTCCAACGACCCCCTTCACAGGGGTCGCCTAAGACCATCGGAAAACACATATATCATTACATATTGTTTTTGTGATTAATCACTATGCTTTCATTATGTTCAATTTGTAACAATGAAAATACATCCTGCATATCAGATATTTACATGACGATTCATAACAGTAGCAAAATGACAGTTATGAAGTAGCAACGAAAATAATTTTATGGTTGGGGGTCACCACAACATGAGGAACTGTATTCAAGGGTCGCGGCATTAGGAAGGTTGAGAACCACTGTTCTAGGGCATTGTTCTACATGGCGGTTTAGGAGGAAAAAGTCAAGCTAAGTAATGAAACGGAGAGGTATATAGTTAGTGTAGCCCATGGTGGTTTGAGGAGCGGAATGCGAAATGTACTTGAATTGTTTTTTTTTTTCCTTTTAAAATATATTTTTATTGATTTTAGAGAGGAAGGGAGAGGGAGAGAGAGAGAGAGAAACATCAGTGATGTGAGAGAATCATTAACTGGCTGCCTCCTGCATGCCTCACACTGGGGATGGAGCCTGCAACCCGGGCATGTGCCCTTGACCGGAATTGAACCTGGGACCCTTCAGTCCTCAGTCCAATGCTCTGTCCGCTGAGCCAGACCAGCTAGGACATGTGCTTGAATTTTGAAGATAAAAGTTGAGACTTCAAAGAACTGCTGAAGGAGGGTGTGTGTTGGGGATCGCCAGTCACGCCCCGTGGTCCCTGTGGGGACACTCGGTAGGGCTATTGCGCATCATGGAGGGCAGACCTCTCCGAGGAAAGTCCCTGTGTGCGTGGGTCTGGGTGGGGTTGGGGTCCCCTTCGTGCCCTGCAGGAAATGACGCAGAGCTTGTCCCCGAGCTCCGGGATGCACGGCTGGCTTCAGGTCAGGTGTGATCCAGCAGCTCATTCTTAGCAGCCCCTTCCCCAACCTGATACTGAAAGCAAAAGTGTGACCCTGGTATCAGAAGTCACAGCACGCGTCCCCGAGCCCCTG